GGAAAGGAAAATCGATGTCGATTAGCTAACATCCGTACACCTCATCCCCACCCAGCCTTGGTCTGTCTAGTACTACGGGCAACATTTTAGTTTTAATATTTTCGTAAACTATACCTTCGAATACTTTTAATACGATTGTTCTACTGCTTTATTCTTTGCAGTTTTTCTTTTTTTCGCCATTTTCGCTTTAATTTTTTTGTACAAACAATCACATACTGGATATCTTTCAACTTGGTTTACTTCGTTAAATGCTGGCAAATTAAAATCGCATGTTTTTAATTGAAGTTTACTCAATATTACGTGAATTTAATGTATGTATAGAGGAAATTATTTAACTGCAATCATACGCCCCTCTACACATAAGTAAACATGCTCGATAAAGGTATGTGAAAAAAATGGAATCTATATACAAAAATATTATTATTGTTATTATTATTTTAATTTTAAACTAATGAAATAAATTCTTAGACTAAAAAAATACATTAAGCACTAGCAACACAGGCTATCGGCTCTAGTTTAAATAAATGTACATTAGATAATGAGCTTAGTAGTATTAATAAAGTAATATACTGAATTGATATTCTGTTCTGAAGATGATTGTAGAATGTCCAAAGCGCTAATCGTTCCCAATGCAATACTTCTAGCCAAAGAAAAGTTAAAGGTTTATTTTTGTATATTCATAAAAATTAATCAAACGAAGTTTATATATAAAATACTATTATGTTCCCAAAAAAAGGCGACTTTTTGTTTGGAATTTTTCGCCCATCAAATATTATTGTATTTCTTTTTTTCTTTTTTTTTTTTCTAATAGAAACCGTCAATGGATCAGAATATATTGGCCTAGAAGAACGATAAGAAGAGACGTTCAAATTTATAAAGCGGCAAGTCGACGGTCTTGGGCCATTCTAACAAAGAAGGATTTAAAATAAAACTTTGCATTATTTTGTGAACCCAATCTTGCGTTAGTAAATATTAAAGAGTACTGACAATAAAGCCTTACCTAAATTAAACGGATATTTGTGCTTTCTTTCTTTATCAATAATTGCGTATCAACAATGCAGCTAAACAGAGACCGTAGGTGGATGGGTAGGGCGCAGACTAGGTTTGGGTATAAAATCATCCTTACACGGTTAGCTAAGTAAGCTTTGCCTGTCCACTCTTAAGGATAATAACGACACATTTATTCTTCCTTGTTGACTATAACAGTCTGTGGTTAGGTCCGACGAGCCTAATCAACTCGCCCATCATTATCAACCAATCTAGCTTTCCGTGACACACGTAGATATTCGAAGTAATCTGCGTTTTAGTAAGTCTAGGCCAACCTGTTAGGTTTCTCTAGGATACTAGGTTGCCAAACCGAAGCAAGCAAATCACATTTTCATGTCTTCATTGAGCTACATTTTACTGAAAATTTCAGAAAAGACTCTTTAATGACATTTTATATACTTTCGATCCGGAATTTCGCTATTTTAACAAAATGCTTACAACTGTTTACAACTGTTTAAGACAGTTTAATGACATTTTATATACTTTCTATCGCATGCCCTGTTCCACCAAGGATTAGGAGGGTAGGATTTTTTATAAGATTTTCATTTCAGAGGATTAGAAATAGACTGAGAATCTATCAAAGAAATTACCCGAAAATGGTAATTGAAATATAACAGACAGTATTGTTAATTAGAGAAAGTTCGATATACTTTGGAACATGGGTATGTGAGTGGCAGCGGGTAATAGGAAGGAAATGAAGACTAATTTCGACTGGACAGTAGCAAATATTTAAGGTGTCATTAAGAATCCTCCAGGTATTCAGAGTACTTAGATTAGATGTACAGATCGTAAGATTTATACAAGACGAGACAGAACCAAAATGAGTAGGGCCACCATTACTTACTAAAACTAAATTGCTGCTTTCAAGAAAATCTTGAATTTGTCTGCTGCTTCAATTGGAGAAGCGACTACCCCAATAAACGTTGTGAGCATTAAAATCGACGGATCTGAAAGAAAATAGCCTGCTAATTGCAGAATCAGAAACGTTGCAGTAAGGTGGTGATCAAGGGTTCCCCAAAGGAAGTGTGAACGGTGCAGCTGCAAACTTCAATAGGTACACAATTTGCAAAATTAGAAGTACAAGAGAATGAAAGCTTGTTAGACACAAGGATCGCTTCACCATTGGAGCAACTGGAGACGCGATCAAATCTAACTACGTTATACTTCTTAGTAGAAAAAAAAACCGTCAGGTTTACGAAAAGTTTCAGAAAGACGGGCCACGGAAATGTTATTACAATAAAATTATTGTTCAAGCTGTTTTAATTTATTACAAATACTAGTGCAATTACGTTGAACTATTTTCATTATTGGTTGAGAGAGATTAGGAATACGAATCCGAAGAGGGTCGTTGGTTAAGAATACTCTTATGAAGGTCGCGTGATAAGCGGGGGGCGAAGTTAATAGTAGAATTTGATTTAGAGGACGACTTGATATTATGTAATTTTTGAATACGGTCAGAGATTTGAGATAAATTAGAGGATATGGTAGAATCAGAGATCATTTTGTGATCAGAAGGAACATTGTCTTTGACGAGCGTCACAGTCTCGGGATTTGAAGATTTTATATTGGAAGAGAAGATGGTGATTTCAGGAGTTCTCATGTTCTTGGTTGGGACTGAGACAGTAGACTCAGTGTTCGTTCGTTTGATTGTTGATTGAGAAATCGATGGAGGCAACTTAGCAAAGCTCTCCAGAGAAATTGAAAAGTCTGGATTATTTGATGTGCGTAGGTGCTCTGACACAAAGAGTAAATTTGTAGTTTGGGACCTTCTGCTGTATCTTTTTTCGCCTTGGCAATATTCTTGTACGTTGGACTCTTGCAATTAATGCGTTTTCTAACATTTTAAGGACAATTTGTGGAGCGATCGTCGCTTGCGCCGCAGGAAGCGCAGAGTGACTTTTGGCAAGAGCACATCTCACCAGTGTTGCCGCAACGTCAACTTTGTGGCATTATAATATCCGCCTGACGTATGGTTTACCCGGCAGGTAATGCCTTCCAAACATATGTGGGAAGGTAAAACAGTCGCGAAAAAACTTATACGGACTGTGTGCAAAGGCACACGAGAGTTAAGAGATAAGAGATTTGGTCGAATTAGTGAAAGCGCATTACTTCCGCAACTTTGCAAAAGTCAGAGTAGCGGACTGAATTTGGGAAGATATTTCGGACAGGCATTTGAGTGAATTTCAAGTTTGGCAAAGTCAGAGGATCTAGAAGCAACCCCATTTTCAGGGAGTTCGGACGGGATGTAAACATTATAAATATTGTTAAGTAAAGCGTTGGCGGCAATAGCGTCGCAGCCGAATCGGAGGATATCAATATAACTTTTTTGTTAGAGACGAAAAAAATCTATAAATTAGGGAATGATGATATAAATTTCGGCCAAGTTTGATTATTGGCAAAGCGTTTGTTCTGTTCTGGATAAATGCAATATACTGGTGTTAGCAAAAGCTTTGGCCATGGAGATTTTAATGTCCGCACTTTTGAGGATAAATATTCAAATAAGGAAATGGAAAGGAGGCAGAGCGTGTAGTAATGTTCTTTGAGTGAGATGAGCTCCGCAGTGGGATGTAACGTTGTTTCTTTTCCCAAAGTGCGATGTTTCACTTTTTCAGATACTTAAGGTGTTGTCTTCTTTTTATTATTTGGATATAAAGCACTTTTTGTATCAGCTACGTTGTACAAACAGTTACTTGTTTTGCTTATGTTTGAAAAGATATCGTATTGAATTTGAATTATTTTGGACATATAAGCCACAAATCTATTGGCTTAGTCCACCTCTACTCTACTCTACTCAACAGACAAAAAAAAAACAAATTGAATTCAATTTTGCACAGGGTTTTTTATTACAGTTCAGCATAATATTTAAAATAATCGTAACCAACAAATAATACTTCTTCCTGATCCGCGAAAGAAATTGGTTTTTCAAAACAAAATTCCGGAACAACGCGTAGTCTTTTTCTGTTATTCAGCAAATTCGTCGATGGACTCAATGATTTTTTTTTCCTTGTTGAAGAAACCGAAATTAAAATTTTTCACTAAGAGGCTCAGCAGGTATCAGCGTCTCCAGCTTTCCAATACTTCCATTACAATGCGTTAATGATTGCACGGAACATAAAAAACGATAGCCAAATTGACGTTTCGTTTGTTTGTATAAACGAAGTACATATGGTAAACAATAAGAAACATAAAAAATGAAACGAACAGAAAATTATGTAGAATTTGTGTCAGGATATATTTAGCTTAATTTAGCTTGATATTTAAAAATATTGTATTTACTTTTACCAAATTTTTTTTCTTTTTCTTCACAATTCACAAATGTAATTTTGGACACACTTTACGTTTTTAAAGTTTTTGAAATAATAATTCATTTTTTAACAGATATTTATATTTTACTTTCGCAGCTGCAAACGCAACTCTGAAAGAGAGTTTAATTTCTTCTCCGCGATAGCAATTTTATTATCCCCAGATTTGACCTAACTGAGAGAGCGCAGTATTATAGAGATCTAAAGCATTATCTGCTAAACTCAATTGATAGTGTTGTTGTTGTTGTTGTACTAACGGTTTAGAATTCAATCTTAAATTCTTTGCAAGTTTATGTCTGCAAAATCAAAATATAAATGGACGTTATCCTCATTAAAGTTATACCACAGCGCATGACCTCTTATTATTCCATTCTATGAAGTAGTTATTCTTATTTGGAGTGAAATTGATAGCACTTTCTAACCATTTTGAAAGCTACACTTCCATAAGCGTATTTGTTTACAATTGAGAATAATTGCATCTTTACGATAAGGCGGTGATATTGAAGTCGCTGAGAGTTTTTTGATTTTCTTATTTTCTTCGAAACTGTAATCCAATTTTACTCGACTTCGCGTAACTCTACCCAATCATTCGGCACTGTCCTTATCGCCATCATCTTGACGATAATTGCCAGCAAATTTGTCAACATGATTAGATTCTCTTAGCGGTCATCGCATACTTCATTGTCGCCTGCTTACCTGATTACCGCCTAGATACGCGGTACTAATTTTTTTTAGCTACGTTTCATTTCGGGGTTTTTGGTCTTACGTGTTCACAACAGATGCGAAGTTATCTTTATCGTAGTTGTCGAATCAGGCGTAACCTAAATAGCTCAGGTTGGGATTATAAGAGAAATCATGCCTCTGTTTTCTAATTAACTAGATCAAATTGGACGGCATACATTGAAAACCATTTGATTGTGAGTTACGTATCGCTTTTCCCATTTGAAATTTAATTTGAAAAAATAAAAGACAGATTTGACGTTTGTTTGGTTACAAACAAATAGCATCGTACCGTGTTATTGCATTATATTTTGATCCGTCTGAGCAGCCTAGTAGACAAAGATTTTCGACTAACAACTAAATGGTCGTGGGTTCAAATCTCAAGTGCGGTAGAGCTTAGACTTCTTCTATTCTGATAGCTCTAGATAGTGGTGGTTTTAGGACTTTAGTATTAGAATTTATTCTCTCGCTAAATTAATAATAATAATAATAACAATATATTATGTTTTCAATTCTTAGAAAAGCTTTATATTGGGGAGCTGAAGTTTGAACCTTATATCTCTTTATTAATATTTCACATATTTAAAAATTAACATATAAATTTACCAAAAAAGAATGTGTAGTGTTTTAAAAACAATTGCAAATTAAATTGTGTGTTATATAAATAAGACCCAGCTGCATAATTATCACAAAACATCTTAAGGCGGATCTATTCTTTATATCTTCTATTTCGATGCAATTCAGTTTGAAAACGTAAAAGATACGCCGGTTCTTATTCCCTTATTTATTCACCTCAATTGGGAGGGGAGGGCTCTGGCAAAAGGTCAAAGTAAGTTACGCAAGCATAAGTCACTACTCGCCATCCATTGATAGCATCCAGACCCGAATAAATCAAAAATAAGGCCTAAACGGATCACCGGAGGTATGTAGGTTCTCCTTCAACCATAACTCGCACCACTTTTCTTTAAAACGTATTCTAATGCCGCTTTTGCAAATATCCACATGCAACGATATATACATATTTTTATACACATCGTCCATAAATATACGAAATCACTTACTCACACAACTTCGCGCAGCAGAATTGAAGAGTCTTGCAGAGTCCATCTCCATCTTAGAAGATTTCTTTCTTTGAATTTATCTCTAAACAGTCTACATCAGAGAACTTTTCTCGTACCTTTTTATTATAAAAAAATCTTGAAAATAAAATCTACCTAACGCCAACACAATTAGTGCCCTAAATTTCATTCATTGTGATTGTCGACCGCAAAACTTTGTGAGTAAGTTAGAAAGTAAAATTAAAAAAATGGGTAGATGGCAGCTTTACTGTAAGAACGTATGTTAGACAGTAACTCAATTTTTTTGGTGTACTACAAAATATAAACAAAATAATTTAAATTTGTTATAATATATTGTTCTACTAATGCAAAGAGAATCAGAATGGATTATGACTTTAAAATGAAAACACAAAAGGAACGCACAAAAGTTGAGGACCTTTTCAACTATGAGGGCTGTAAAGTGGGTCGAGGCACCTACGGTCATGTATATAAAGCAAAGTGGAAAGAGACTTCGGACGGTAAAGAGTATGCTTTGAAGCAAATTGATGGTACCGGTTTGTCTATGTCAGCATGCCGCGAGATTGCTTTACTTCGGGAACTAAAGCATCAAAATGTCATCACACTGATAAGAGTTTTTCTTTCACATACCGACCGCAAAGTATTCTTGTTAATTGATTATGCAGAACACGATTTGTGGCATATTATAAAATTTCATCGTGCAGCAAAGGCGGCTAAAAAGCAGGTGGTAGTACCGCGGGGTATGGTAAAGAGCCTATTATATCAAATTTTGGATGGCATACATTATTTGCATAGTAATTGGGTTTTACATCGAGATCTCAAACCTGCCAATATATTAGTGATGGGTGATGGCCCAGAGAGAGGAAGGGTTAAAATCGCTGATATGGGCTTTGCTCGTTTATTTAATGCTCCTCTAAAGCCTTTAGCAGATTTGGATCCTGTAGTGGTAACCTTTTGGTATCGTGCACCCGAATTATTGTTGGGTGCACGTCATTACACTAAGGCTATCGATATCTGGGCAATAGGATGCATTTTCGCCGAACTACTTACATCGGAACCTATTTTTCACTGCCGTCAGGAAGATATAAAAACTAGTAATCCCTATCACCATGATCAATTAGACCGCATATTTAACGTAATGGGATTTCCGCAAGACAAAGACTGGGAGGATATTAAAAAGATGCCTGAACACCACACCTTGACAAAAGATTTTAAAAGATCTTCGTACTCAACTTGTTCTTTGGCCAAATACATGGATCGTCATAAAATTAAGCCAGATAGCAAAGCATTCCATTTATTGCAAAAGTTATTGTTAATGGATCCTAATAAACGCATTACTTCAGAACAAGCTATGCAAGATCCATATTTTCAAGAGGAGCCTCTACCCACACAAGATGTATTTGCTGGCTGCCCGATACCTTACCCAAAAAGGGAGTTCCTTACTGATGACGACCAAGAAGACAAATCAGACAATAAACGTCAGCAACAACAACAGCAGCAGCAGCAACAACAGCAACAACAACAACAGCAACAACAACAACAGCAACAACAACACCATGAACCGAATGCGAAACGAGTGCGCCTTTCGGGTCCCGGAGGAGCACCACAACAGCAACAGCAGGTGCACCCGCAGCAGCAACAAGATTTCCACCATCAACAACAGCAACAGGCAGCTGCCGCTGCCGCTGTTGTCGCGCAACAACAGCAACAACAGCAAGCTGCGGCTGCTCAGCAAATGATGTTCAACCAACAGCAACAGAATTTTCAGCAACGTTTTTAAAGTCTTTAATTAGGGCAACACTGCCAGACAATTATCTGCATTTTCTTGTAAAAATTAGTTTTTGTTATATATTAAGTATGTAATTATAAGTGCTTTGACTGGTAATTTAATAAACATTATTGGAATGTACTTGTTGTTGTGAGATGTTTTGCAGTAAAATTGGGAGCAAAAATTCAACCGCCTTTTCAGTTACTGAAACTTGATAGTATATCTTAAGGGCATATATTTGCCAGCAGATACCTGGAGCCGACCTTCCCGAAAGCAGAGGTGCACGGGGTGCTCCAGCAAGCCTTCGACATCTACGCGGCTATAAAGCAACATATGGTGGAGCGGGACTTCGGCAAGCGCATACAGGCAACTGTGGGTGGCATGGCTAGCCTTCTTCAAGGAAGCAGGCTCCTGTAGCAGCGACGAAAGCCATAGAATCAACTTACTGGGATAAATATTGTTCGTACTCTTAACAGGGAAAAGCCAGAGCGAATCATTGGATAAAAATGTTACCTCATTCTAAGGTAATTATAATATTATTTAGGTAGACTTATAAATTGCTTATTTACTTTCTTCTATTTTAGAATAGAATAAAAACACCTCTCCGTTCATCGCCTTATATACATGAAGATTCGGTGTATTCCAAAAGCAAGTTTGCGTTTATCTTTGCATATTATGTACAATTTATTACTTTCTTTTTATTTAATTATAGGTTGAAAAACAAGCATACGCCTCAATACTCAAGAAAATTAAGAAATCGAAGATTCTACATGTAACGACTTATCAAGAATAGTTTTCATTTATGCTTAACATTGCTTAACAATATTTAATTTTGACATGGTTAACAATGCTTAACAATATTTAACAACCATTTGTACCTGAACGAGGTTTGGCTTTTGGTATGTTATAACATATAGTGTGAAATTATCTAAAAATTATCTAAGAAAAATTAGCAAAAGCCGTCGGCAAAACAACGGACCAAATTATCTAAGAAAAATTAGCAAAATTAGCAGTATAATAATAGGAAATGTATGTAGAATATTTGGTTTGGAAATGCCGGCACAAATTCCAGATGAAGCCACCTGAGCATCTACTGCACATCTAATTCCCATTCATTATAGCTCCTAATTCCCAATTATAGAATTCTTCCTCTTGTTCATAATTCACAATTATATAATTTTATAATTCTTCCTCTTCCACATAGTTCACAATTATATGATTTTACAATTCTTCCTCTAGCTCATAATTCACAATTATATAATTTTACAATTCTTCCTCTTGCTCATAATTCACAATTATATAATTTTACATTTTTTATATTAATATATATTATATATTAATAATAAACTAATAAAAAACATTCGATAGAAAACAATTTTTATTTTTTTGGATATTTATCTTAGTACAATCTGTATTTGTCCTAAAGTACACAAACATACACATGCAACTTGAAAAAATTTATTGTTGCACATATTGGTATATGAAACCATAAACACGACATAACGACGACGACGAAGTCATTTTTTTATATACTTTTTAAAAACTTTCTATATCTATTTTACATTTGATCATAATTCAGTTCAATACAATCGCACCCCTAATTGTAATGGTAGACTGCTTGACCCCTGCTTTGCCAATTTCTCTGCGATTAGTGTAAATCGTTGTCCACCTTTTAGTTTACCTGAGAATCCTTATCATCTATCAATATGCATTTCCTTTCATCATATGAATGATGGTTCGTTGAAATGCATTAATGTGCCAAATCAAACTTTTTTAAATAAATATTATGGTTTTCATAAAATCTAATGCTAACGCATTGTCTTTCAAATATGAGGCTTGAATTCTCAACCGGAATTATTGAAAGCTTATTGTCATCGTTCTACAATACATTAAATCTAGCTATTGCTGCATCTGTTCCGATCAAGCAGTGCCAACTTCGAAGCAGGTGTCCCCCGTGGTTTAATAAGACAATTAAATATTATATAAATAGTGGCTCTACTCGTGACTGTTTCGCTTACTCCGTGGCAGATTTAACTCCCTCAGCCACCAATATTATTGCAGATACCTTCAGCTCATTAAATCCTCTCGCATGTGCCTTTTAATGGTTCTGATTCCTCGGATGATTTTGAAATCTCAAATCTGTTCGCTGGGTACTTCCGTCGAAAATCTTCGACTGCTAATTCCGAATTATGCGCAAACTACCCATATCCTATAACTAACTTGGTTTCAATTCTTAATTAGGTTATTGCTGAAGATGATGTTTTTAAAGGCTTGAGCTCTCTAGAGTATAGTTGTGCATCTGGACCTGATGGAATTCCATCATGTTTACTTAAATCTAATCGAGTTATATGGTGTTATCTCTAAGATTTTTAACCGGTCTTTGAATTTAGGTGTTTTCCCTTCATGTTGGAAGAGTAGTTTTCTTATCCCTTTTCACAAAAGTGGAGGTAGACAACTTACTGAAAAGTACATAGGCATAGCCAAGTTGAGTGTCTTGCCTAAACTTGATCACCTCGGATGAATTCCCCCTGACGTCTGGCCTACCTCAAGGCAGTCACTTAGGTCCCATTTTATTTAGTTTTTACATTAATGATCTCACATCGGTGATTAATTCCAGTCAGATCTTAATGTATGCTGATGATGTGAAACTGTTTTCCTCCTTCTCTCTAGAATCGCAATCACATTAGCTTCAAAGTGACTTGAATAATTTGGTTGCATGGTGCGCTTCGAATCTTTTGAAACTAAATCTAAATAAATGTAAGAAGCTTTCTTTCTTAAGAAGAAAGTCATTCATTACTCAGCATTTCATTGATTTGCATAAGTTGGAAGACGTCGATACGTTCACAGATTTATGCGTTCTATTTGACCATAAATTACGTTTTAAGTTGCATATTGATCTCCCGTTAAGCAAAGCTATGTCCGCGCTTGGTTTTATAAAGGGGTGGTCCAAAGAGCTTGATGATCCTTAGATTACAAAAAGGCTGCACATATGTTTGGTTAGACCTATACTCGAGTATGCCTCTATTTTGTGGTCTCCTTCATATGAGTGAGACAAGACATCTCTTGACGTTATCGATAGGGATATTTTTTTTGAGTTTACGGATAGAGAATGGCTGGCTCAGCCTAGTCGCCATTCCTGAATAACCGATAGGACTACTAAACTTTACAGATAAGAGATGGCTGGCTCAGTTTAGTCGTCATCCCTGAATGACAAAAGAACACCATCTTCAGCGACGTGAAACCGTTAGGGGTAGTAAATACAAATAGAATGTAGGTGGGAACGGACGAGTGACCCTATAGGCCGTAACTACTATAACACGTGCGGCGTATTTTTTTTGCAGAATCTCGCGGTGCGGATGAAATGTGGAAAATAATCTCTCGGGATGGACAAAAGCGTGGAAAGTTTCAAACAAGAATCTGGTCGCGAATCACCACGCCGGTTACTCCTTAGGTTCCGACAACATATCTTTCTACATGCTTATGAATTCCTGAGAAAACATTGTTCGGGCGCTGACCGATATAGTCAACTTATCGCTAGCAAGTGGCATTTTTCCCGAGCCTTGGAAAAGTAGTCCCATTGTTCCCATTTTAAAGAACAGCTGGAGAAACGACATAGAAAACTATGAGGCTATGGAGAAGTTTAGTGTGCAAACTAAGCGCTTTTAGGGCTTGGTAACAAAAAGATTATTACATTCAGTTGATACTATTTTTTATACATGTCAACACGGTTTCATCTTCAGCATCAAATCTTTAAGAATAGTTATGTTATATCTTCAAAAGTTTGCAGGCTGATTTTATTTACACAGTGAGACTTTTGTTAGAGCAAACTGCCACTTGCGTATTTCTCAACTTATTTTATATGGCTTTCCGGATATCTTGATTAAATTGTCCTTTTCTTACCCTTCTTTCTTCTGAAAATCCGTGTAGAATCTATTACTTACAATGCTACTGTATGTAGGGAGATGATAGTTTCATCTGGATTTCCACAGTGCACTTGATCCCCTTCTCTTCCTTCTACTGACAAACGATTTGTGATTGTTGTGATTGAATACTCACATACCTTATTGTGTACTGATGATGTAAAACTGTGCCTATCGTTTGATAAAGATCCACATCGCCTAAAGCAAGATTTAGAAACCCTTTGGAGTTAAGTGAGCTTGTTATTTATTCACCCAAGTAAATGTAGGAAATTTTCACGGATAACAGTCATCATACTTGGGGAGACCACAGAGAAGATGTTGGATATTTTACAGTTTTTGGTCGATGATATATCCTCATCAATGTTTTATCGCTCTAAATATGAACTTTTTAATCCCTTTCATGTTGCTTGTAAAAATACTAATGATTATTATCAGTTATGCTCCTTTTCTGATTCGGTTCACCGAATCAAAATCTTAGTAATCAATTCACCGTAATGAAAATTAAACCACCTTCTATTATTCACAAAACATGTATTGAATATTATGAATAAACATATTTCGGCATCTTGGGACATATTGTAAAGTTCACTAAATATAATTATTTGGTTAATTTAGATGAAAAATGATTGCTTAAAAGAAACGACATTCTAACTTTCAAGTTATGCATAAATCTAAATCAACTTTGTATTGTTAAGACCTCGCTTTCAAGTGATATCGTCTTTCGTTGTCAATATCAAACAAGTTAATTCTGCTGAGGTTTGCAGTTGAATTGAAAACTGACTAAATTAAATTGAATTCAGTTAAGCTAAATGTCAGGAAAAAAGGCTTTTCCATATTTGCTAACATTTTCATCTCTAATTTAGTTTTAGGTTCACATATTTGCTATGATAATTCCGGTGCTTTGCAAGAAGTGTTTAAAGATGAATCAGTAACATCAGTACGACGTAGTTCAAATTAATTTATTCAATATGTTAATGGCCTAGTGTTGTGCTATGTTTCTCGGGCGGGTTCATACTTGATCGTGTGTTTGACCTACGTATAGGCACCATTATTTATTTAGTTATTTTGCTTGCCGAACAATTAGGCCTCTAG